ATCATTTTGACGATATTCTCACGATATTTTTTATCATTCCTTGGTTATTTTTGATCCTGAACTTACTTAGATTTGGATGTCATTTTGACGTGTCTGATATCTGGGAGAGGTCTCAGGCTCGAATCTCAGCAATGCCCATACAGCACAGAAGCTTGCAGCAACATTGCTACAACGTTGCAAGATTGCATATTGCAGTGCAATGTTGCAGAGACTTTGTAGTGACATTAATTTGCAATACTTTAACAATATTGCAGTAATATTTAAAAAAAATATTACGAATATAATATATTTTAATTATTTACTAGTTATTTTTGTTACTTGTATTACAAATTCAGTAATGTTTTACATCAATAATACTTATAGAATAGTACTTAGAATAGCACTCGTTAGTGGCAATCATTAATTTGTCTTATTGCATATTTTTTATACTTTTTATAGCGTTTTTTCGGAGAAAATGAAACAACATTATTGTTTTAAATAATATTTTTTAAAAGTTTCTCTCAAAATTTAGTAATTTGATTTGTTTAATTTGGATTTTCTTGAATTTTTTAATTTTCTTTTGTTGGATTAATCATTATAACATTTTGTTAAAAATATAAAAGTAATTATCACTAGTTCACTACATTACATCAATATTCATCGCATATTGAATGTTGCATTGTTTCAATATCATCAACAAATTATCCAATAAACAACAAGTAAAAATTATGTAACTATTATTTGGTGTTTGTTAGGTATGTTATAATATACTGTGAACACTATAAGGATATATTATATAAACATGAATTGTAAGAACATCGTTGGAATCATCAGAGTCACCGCATGCACGCCGATCGTTAAGCAACAGTTTAATGCGCTCAGGACATAGATGGGTGTGACCAGTGGGTATACCGCTTGGGATCGAAATTTATCGCAGGAGGATTCATGAAAGTTGTAACGATGCACACCTGCATCGTCACTACTCCGGCCCGACCGACCATCAGTCGGGCCGTGCACCGGCGCGTTGCGCCAACAATAAACGCCGAAAGGCCGACAAACAAAACACGATAACGAGTATAAACAAAGCGAACAAAGATCACGCGAGAAATCGGGCACAGCGGAAACAATAGCGAGCGAGCGCCGCGAGCACGCGACGCGCACGTGTACGGCGAGCAGACAAAGAAGCGTCAAGTATATAATCCGCGACGCCGAATTAATCAGGACCAGACCGATCCGGACCGTCAACCGAACTCGATGCTACACAGCGGAGAGCAAAGCCTACGACCGACTCGTATCTGCTTCCTAAACCTGCCAACGATCACATCCTCGCAAACTAGGACCGAAGCCAGTACGTTAGCTGTGCTCTGCCGATCTTTATCGACTCTAGTTTGCATCCCGTCGACATCCCGAACAAGGACCGAAGCCAGTAAGCTAGCTGCGCTCTGTCGAGCTTTCTCGACCCTTGTTC